CATACGTTTATCATGAAGGTTAAATGAATCAGTTCACATAAAATACTTAGCATGGTGCCCAGACCATATTATATGCTCAGTTAAAATGGTAAAACAAATATCCTAAAACTCTAACTCCCTTAAAATAGTCATTTTTGATAAACATGGGTATATGATAAAGTTTCCAGGTTCATAGTACTGTGGAAAAAGTTCTTGAAACTATAACTTTAAACTGTTAGAATAGGCAAATCCAGTAAATTCATAAGATATAAAATTAACCTATAAAAATGCGTTGTATTTCCATACACAAACAAATCTCCAAAAAAGAAATTAAGAGAATTTCATTTACAATAGCATAAAAAATAAAATACTTAGAAATAACCAAGGAGGTGAAAGACTTGTATACTAAAAACTATAAACATTGATGAAAGAAAGACACAAATGGAAGGATATCCTGTGTTCATGGATGAGAACAATAAACATTGTTAAAATGTCTATACTTACCAAAGTAATCTATAGATTCAATTCAATCCCTATCAAAATCCTAATGAAACTTTTTTTTTTTTTTGGTGAGGAAGATTGTCCCTGAGCTAACATCTGTGCCAATCTTCCTCTATTTTGTATGTGGGATGCTGCCACAGTGTGGCTTGATGAGTGGTGTGTAGGTTCACACCTGAGATCCGAACTGTGAACCCTGGGCTGTTGAAGCAGAGCACACAGGCCAGCCCCCAAATGACACTTCTACAGGAATAGAAAAACAGTCCTAAAATTCATCTGGAAGCACAATCAACCCTTAACAGCCAAAGGAGTTTCGAGCAAGAAGAACATAGTTAGAGGTATCACATTCCCTGATGTCAAAACATATTACAAAGCTAAAGTAATCAAAACAGTATGGTATTGGCATAAAAACAGATACTTAGACCAATGGAACAGAAAAGAGAGCCTGGAAATAAACCCTCATATACATGATCAACTAACACTTGACAAGGGAGCCAAGAATACTCAATGGGGAAAAGATAATCTGTTTGATAAATGAAGTTGGGAAAATAGGATATCCACATGCAAAAGGATGAAATTTTGCAAAAAGAAAAGAAATCACACCATATACAAAAATCAACTCAAAATGGATTAAAGACGTAAACCTTGAAACAATAAAACTCTTAGAAGAAAACACAGGGAAAATGCTTCTGACACTGGACTGGACAACGATTTCTTTGATATGACACAGAAAGCACAGGCAACAAACGCAAAAATAGACAAGTGGGACTATGTCAAACTAAAAAGCTTCTGCACAGCAGAAGAAACCATCAACAAAATGAAAAGGAAACCTGTGGGATGAGAGAAAATATTTGCGGACTATATATCTGATAAGGGATTAATATCCAAAATATATGAGGAACTTCTATAATTCAATAGCAAAAAACCCTAATAACTTGATTGAAAAATGGGCAAAGGACCTGCACAGATATTTCTCCAAAGAAGACATACAAATGGCTAACAAGTATATGAAAAGGTGCTCAATGTCAACAGACAAATGCAAATCAAAACCACAAAGAGATATCACCTCACACCTGTTAGGATGATGATTATTAAAAAAAAAACCCCAAAAAACAAAATCCAAACAACACAAACGACAAGTGTTGGCAAGGATGTGGAGAAAAGGGGACCCTTGTACATTGTTGGTGGGCGTGTAAATTGGTGCTGCCACTATGGAAAACAATATGGAGGTTCCTTGAAAAATTAGAATTACCATTTGATCCAGCAATCCCATTTCTAGGTATATACAACCAGAGGAATTGAACTCTACATCTTGAGATATCTGATCTGCACTCCCATGTTCATTGCAGCGTTATTCACAATAGCCAAGACATAAAAACTTAAATGTCCGTCGATATACAAATAAAGAAAAAGTGGTTTATGCATATGGTGTAATATTATTCAGCCTAAAAAACAAGAGCAGAATGGTGGGTGCCCTGGGCTAGGGGGATGGGGAAATAGGGAAATAGGGAGGTGTTCGTTAAAGGTTACAAAGTTTCAGTTATGCAAAATAAGTTCTGGAGAGCTACTCTTTAAAAAAAGAAAAAGAAAAAAAAAACAAAAAAAGGAGGGGCCGCAGAGCCTCCCCATAAATGGTGTTCTGCAAGGAGTAGGTATGATCATTGGTTTTGGATATCTGGGTGGCAACAGCTTTTTTATTTTCACTTAATTTGAAGGAGGATGGGCTCTAAAATCAGAACTAAATTTCACTGCTTATGAGCTAACTACTGTGAGCAAGTTATTTAACCTCTCTTAATCTGTCTGTCTTTTTAACATATGATTATTGTGAAAATAGAATGAAGGATATGGAAACAGTTCTTAGCACAATACCTAGCTCCTGTCATATAATAAATGTTAATTAAAAAAATTTGGTTGTAAAATTAACATAAATTAGCTTAGATCTGAGTATTTTCAAGCCTGCTGAAATTTGACTAGCCAATCACAAGCAGGGGCAACACAGCCAGGCATGGTGGCTTGCCAAGGTGCTGTGCAGAAACATATGGAACATTATTAGATGTCAGACAGGGACATACAGATATATAACACATTTTCAGATTTGTTAGTAAAATCTTAGAAAAACATAGCTTCTTTAAAAAATGATTTTAGTTATCTAGTTATTTAGTTATCTAGTAGCAGGATCAGCATGCAGTGGCCAGGAATCGTCTGTTATTTTCCTTTGTGTGATAAGATGCTGTGGCTATGAACGTTGCCAGACGTGTGACCCATCATTCTATCCAAACTGTGTAATAGGACCACCCCCTGCGGCTGCAGCGGCTGAACGCATAGAAGTTGCTAGGGTGGCCGGACAATCCTTTGTTCTGCTGTCCTGTTTACAGCTGTGCTTTAGTAGACGCCACAATGGCTCAATGACCTGCATGTGACCCCATGGTCAGCATTTCCTCAATGAAGCGTGACTCTATGATATTAATCTTTACTTCATTGATTTGGGTTTGCAGTATCAGTAGTATTTCTGAGGCTACTTGGCCAGTATCTGGTACAATAACATTCGGTGTAGCCCCATGGGTCCTAACAGCCAGTAATCCTTTAGCCAGTTACTGAAATAATGCTTGGATCTCACATTTGACTGTATAATGGTTTGACAGTAGTAGTTCAGAACAAATACAGTGAATGTCTCCCATGTGTCAGGTGCTATTACAGCCGCTGGTAAATTTTATTCTCAATCAGTAATTATATTCCAACGAAGTAAAAACCTTGAAGAACAATATCCTGTGGCTGATGCAATGATCTGGCTAGTATCTGGGAAAGTCAGCTCACCTGAAACAGAAAATGGTTAGTTGGCACAAGGGTGGCTGTTCCTGAGACGGTGGTGCACGCACTGCTCTGGAGAGTCCACCTTCACAGTGCAGTGCAGCGGGGCTGAGAACGCAGCATCTGGCCTCCCAGAGTGGCTCTCTCCTGCTGCGGGACTGGCAGGCAGAGGCCAGAGGGACACAGGTAAGTGACTGGAGCAATCCCACAGTGACCTGCGATGTGGCAAGCATGAGATAAGGAGATTCACGACGTATCTCCCCAAATCCCTTGCATGCTCCCCTCACCCCACTTTGGAATTCGAGAAAGGGACTTAGGCAGGGCTTAAGTCTCAGCAATTCAGCCATGGCGACTGGTAACCTGGGCTGCTATAGAAATACCATCCACAGCAATTGATAGGAAAAACCCTAAGAATAAGGAAGGCTCATCGTTACCAGTGTGACTTCCTTGGAGCCATTGTTACAGCTTACTCTGACTGCTGCCCAGAACATAAGTTTGAAGCTCATCTTAAGATTTCTTGGGTGTCCAGAGTTTTGCTATGTCTCACGTGTTAAAGGCTTCCATTTACTTTCTCTCCTTTTGGTCTTGTACAAAGGTCCTCAAACTTAAGCGTGCATCGGACTCACCTGGAGGGCTGGTTATAGCAGCGATTGCTGGGCCCAGCCCCAGACTTAGATCACTAGGCCTAGGTTGGGCACATCTGTCAAGTTCCCAGGTTACAGTGACGTTGCTAGTCCAGGGACCACATTTTGAGAATCTGAGTTTGGCAGAAAGAAAAAAAACTTAGAACGGTCTGATATACTGTGCTGTGTCAAAGTCCTGTGATGGCTGTTCTCTGATCACTGAATTTCACAGTAACTCACTCTAAGCTCTCGCTTTCCTCCAGAGCTGCGCCTTCCACATATACTGGTCTGCCCTTCAGTTGTTACATATGGGGCTCCATGCCCTTTAAAGTATATATAACCAGATTTGAACACTTTTATAGACCCTAATTCTTAAAACGAGAACTTAATTGCTTAAAAAATTTTCTGTGAACTCTCCCACTTACAGCCACACACGCTGCCCCACATTTATACTTCAGTTGGCAAAGTGACAGTTCTGGAAGATAGCTTCTGCTTTTTTATTTTAGCATCTGCACACATCTTTACTATCATTAATGAACCATTTCAAAAGCAAACTACACAATAGTCTTAGGGTGTTGACAAGATTACAATAGAATCAAACTAATTTTATATAATCTTGTTCAGTTTTTTGAGGCTCAAAGTGATTTAATGTTAAATCAGAATTATCTGTCCTGAAAAGTACATCCTGAAACACTGCTCATGGTCAAGTGAGTTGGGAGAAGTGAGCCTCCAAGGAATGTGCAGCAGCTTAGATGAGCACACGAAGGGATCAGAGGTCTACCATGACCCTATTTTCTTTAACACCCATTCAGATTCCAGTGCTCTAGGATCTCCTGGCTACACCCTGCTCCCAGTGATGGCACTAAGCATCTACGGTAAAGCAAACTGTGTCAGGAGACTGATACAAAAGCAAAACTTCCCAATGAGTAGTATAGTTTATTTCAATTAAATCTTTCCTATGTCTTTTTTTTTCTAGAAGTGGGATACAGGAGGAAATTTAGATTAAAAGTTTGAGTCAGAGTACTGATAGAGTTGTAGAGAAGACTGAAGAAGGCACGCGATAGTAAATGAGGGAGAAATGCTGCTGACACGTTACCTGTAGCACAATTCAAGTTTATTCCATTTGTTCTTGCAACACAAAACTTAAACACAGTATTATTTAGCATTCTGATGTACATGAACCAGGATAATATGAGAAACTCAATTGTGTCAAAAGTATTACATTGTGGAAAAAATGAACTCAAATATATCAAAATGCACAAAGCACTAGTCTTCTTCCATTACTGCTTAGAAAGATAGGATTGTTTCTCCATTTACAAAATAGAATCAGGACAATTTAAATTTTTTAAATTTTGCATGCAAAAACACTGCAATTGCTTATGTAGGAGGGCACTCTCACCAGCTTCTTCTATACACAATCGAGTATACAATATTGCATGGAAGAAAACAGCAGCTCAGATGAAGTTTCAGGAAAAAAAAATCAAACAGGTACATATAGATTTAAAATCCATTATTTGGGGGAAAGAAATCAATGAATAAAGGGCCTACTTCCTTGCAGCTTCCACACGTTGCACCCACCTACCTCTCCTTCTTGCCCCACTGCGTTTAGAAGGTGAGCTCCGCATAGGAGAACTCCTTGAGTATCCGCAGGTGCTGTATTTGAACTAGAAGTCTACAGATACCAGTCTGAAGCTGCAAGGGGAAAGGTGTTAGAACACTAATGTAAACAGGTAAACCACCTGTGTTTACTCGATATAGTGCATACGAAATGACTGACTGAATACAAAACTACAGAACATGCAAGATTTTTTCTGAGATGTTAACTACTACTTCAGTGGAGAACGAAACTCATCTAACCTTTCACTAATGCATGTAGTACCAAAAAGCCGACATGGTTTTAGCTTCCTTTACTCAAAATATGAACATTAAGTGTTGTGAATTTCTCTGCCAAGTGGTTCAGAAATACATTATAAATAACCTAGTTAAAAAAAAAGAAGAAATTGTAAACCATCTTGGTCAGTCTATTCTATGTTTATGTTATTTTCTCAAGCAGTCGCCTCATAATTATGGGGTTTATGAAATGGCTGAGAAAGAAGAGGGAAGGCGAAGTAGCCTCTACTGCGTTACAAGGAACACGGGGATAAAGTGGACAGAGAATCACATGGTCTCCACAGCAGGGGGCTGCAGGAAGCAGACCAGGTTTAGGAATGTTAGGAAGATGCACTCTCTGCAATAGCCAACTGCAACAAAACACTTTGAAAGGAAAGGTAAAAACGGCAGAGGGTAAAACCCAAGGCTTTTCAATAGCGTTATGCCAAGACGTGAAAACAGAGATATCAAAACACCTCGTCACCACGTCGCTAGTTGCAGACAGACAGAGTGCCCTCCATCTTCAATGAGGACAGCTCCCTGTTCAGTTGAGTGATGTAATAAAGTACTGATTACTGACTTTTAATCCGACTGTAATAGGCTGCATTAAGACGGCAGAATTAGCCAAATATATCAAAGTATTTAAACCACCATTCTGTGATTGTTTTCTTGGACTCAGGAAACTTACAGGGTTACGCTAGTTCTAAGTGAAAAAGCCATAAAAAACGGGTTCATGGGGAAAAATACACACATACACACAAACCCACACAGCAACCAATCAGCAACGGATCAATAAGATTTGTTATGAGCCAGCTGATCGTTCTTGATACTAATTTAACCCTGCTGTAGAATGCTACGTTGCCTTAAAAAATCATCAATTCTTTATTATCTACCATCTGAATACAGGTCCCTAACCCACCCTCCCCCCTTTTTTAAAAATTTGAGGTACATTCAATTACTGCATGACGTGGCTAAGGAAAAACCCTAATATTTTTAGTAAGCTTATATGGATGGCAAGTTAAAGGAATCTTAATATTTTAAACGCGAGATAAATTTAAGGGGACATATTTTAATTAGTTGTACTGCTCATGAAATAAATGTTTAAAAATGTGTCGAAGTATTTTCTGCTGGTCATAAGAACACCATTTTAGGGCACTGTATTTTAAGAACACAATACATTTTGAAGGTGTCACATTTCACGCAATGCATGATATAGAAAAGAAACAAATATATTACGCAGGTGGCATATATTCAGCAGAAGCCTATCAACAACTCAGAGGAACCTGGTAACAAGCATATTTTTGAAGGGATGGGGTTAAATTTGTCCAAATAGTAAATGTCACCCCAATGATAGCTTTGGTGCAATAAGTAATCAGCATCCAAGCCGGGTGTGAGAGAAGCATTCCAAAGAATGTTCCTTGATTCTCCAAACGTAACCAAGGCCAATCCATTCAAATAGCAAATGAAGAAAATCCATAGGTACTAAGACAACTGTTCTCTCTTTATAGGATACTAACGGGCTTATGGCTATGAGTCTATTTTTAAATCCCCTTTTACTACCAGCAGGAGTTTGAAAGTGTTTCAATGTTATATAAATGTCTGAATCTAGAGGAGAAAAAATATGCATACTGGAATGATTTCTCCTTTAGACTTCCAAAATTTAAGATTTTATAAATAAAACTAGTCAGTTTTATCTAAAGACACATGAAACCCACGTGAAAGGGGAGAGGAAATCCGAAGTTCAGCCGTCCAGCAATTTGGGAGTGTGCCTCCTCCCCTCGACTGAGCTTCCACAGGGAGCTGAAAGTCACCGAGGGGGACTGGTCGTCAACCACAGGCAGCGCTCTTCACTACGCCGAGAGATCCCAACAGAGTGCGTCTTAAGGCAGAAGGCTACAGCTAATTGCTTATCTCAGCACCCTAAGTTTACATCACAGCAGCCACTACTGCTCGCACAGCTGGGGCTACCAAATATGTATAGTTGGCTTTGTAGAGTCAGACCCTCGATACAATCTAATAAGTTAGCCAGGGAGCTGAAAACATCAAATGGTACTGGTATATTTTGTCTTTGCTCTCCCTTGGGTATAAAGTGTATATTTTACTGGAAATGGAAAAGAGGCTGACTTGATCAGGAATCCTAGTAAAAGCCTGGTCATGGTTTTTTCCTCTTCTCCAAAACATTGTTTTTTCTGGTAGTCTGATTTGTTATGAATTTCTCTCTCCCCTCACCCCTCTTAAAGTATTTAGCTGAAGAAGCTGGCAGATAGAGAGTGACAGACAGACAGGCAGCAGTGTGAGGCCACAGGAGAGTCATTCTTCCAGAGCTGTCAGCCCATCCGTCCATCACTGAAGAAGAGCTTTGATTGCCTGGTTGTCGGTGGCTTCGAAGGCAGTTAGTCCATCTGGACCTTTCACAGTCTTATCAGCACCCTGGAAAGGAAAGGAAAGGAAAGGAAAGAGCCTTTATCAATAAATGAGCCCACAACTGAGATAAGAGAACGGAAAACCAGCTTACTCAGCATAGACTAATGTTTACATAGAGAATTAAAAACTCCTGTACTAAGGGAGTCCATTCTATTGACTAAAAACCCCAAACAGTTGGCAAGGTTATGGATCAAGTTATAAAAATGCCAGATTATTTTTCAGGCACTAGAAAGTGTAAACTACAAACAGAACTTGCCAATAACATAGGCAAATGACTGGCTTTTATTTACCCTATTAAACTTTAAAAAAGAATACCCCTATGTGTATTATAAAAAAAAAAGGAAAATCACTTTTGCTAAAGAAGAAAGTATTATTTTGATGGCATTATTTCTTTCTTTGCAGCATTTCTACAATCCAGAACTTATAGACCTTTTATTCTAGACAAATTCCTAAACGTGTAATAGCGGTCATTAGACTTACAAAAACCTAGCAGTAAGGGACTGGGATATGGGCTAGGACAGGAGTGTCCCTACTATACTCTAGGGAAATACTCTCCGTTTGCGCTCAAGGCTTCCCTGGGAGAATGCTGTTCTGTTACTTCTGTTACATGTTTCTTACAACATGGCATTTTACTTCTGAGAATGCGTACATACACCTCTGTGTCTATCTATGTTTCCATCTGTCTTCCCTTATTAGATGAAAAGCTCTGTGGGAGTAGGAACTTTGTCCTATGATTAACCTTGTCCATAATATTCCTCACTGTGTCCCTGATACCTAGAAAAGTGCCTAGTGCATGGTAGGTGAATCTGCTCCCAAATCAGGTGTGAACCTCTTTAACTCCCAGAGACAGCAATGTTCCACCAGCTGAGGGTTCTTTGCGAGCTCCAGTCCAAACAGGATTTATTCATCAAAAAGCCTCTAGTGTCTTGCTCTCCTGCTCTTGCCAAATCTCCTTATTCTTCTGTTCCTAGGGCCTATCAAACGGTCATTAAACTTAACATAAATGGTCCTTTAGAGACCAACTCTACTCAAACTCACCAGTCTCTTCTCCCATTAATCTTCCTATGCTCTAATCCCATGGAATTTCTCACTATTCCTGAACACACTATGTGCCATGCCTTTATACATGCTGGGTTCCATATGGAATGCTTTACCCCCTTTCTCTGGCAAATCCATTCAACCATTCAACAAGTATTTACTGACTGTTTGATGTGTAGACACTGTATAAGAGCTTGGAGAATCAAAGAAAAACAAGAGAGAGTCTGCTAGTCCGGCTGGTGTGGGAGACAGACAAATCAATCAATATGACACAGTGGGAGGAGAACAATAATAGCCTTATGCACAGTGATGACTGGCCTGTAAACTAGAAGGGGATGTGGTAGGAGGGTGTAAGAAAGAAAGGCTTTCTGGATGAGGTGATGCTGGAGTTGACTCTTGATGAGTAACTATAAGTGATTAGGTAAACTGGAAGGACAAGATCACAGACATTCTAGGAAATGTTAAATTATCACAAAGGTCTCCTTAACATGACTATAAGTCTCTATTTCCTCATTTTCTAATTAAATTGAACTGTTTTATGGATGACATGGAACTCAGTCAAGTGGGAGAAAAATCTGAGAACATCAATGTACTAAGTCCTCCAACATAGGTTAAGTGACAATAATTGGCATCACTGTATTCAAAACAAATTCTTACCTATTTTGATAGCTATTTTTGACTAGCATTGTAAACTATAAGTCTGCATTAACAAAAAGTTAAATATCATAGTGAACATCTGTTGCTTTTTAGCTGCCAGAGCTCATTTCCCTTCTTTTGATAGCAGCATCCTAATTTCATTTTGGGGAATCATTTGTCCTTACAGTGTGGAGTTCTGGGACTATAACTCAAGGTGCCATGTACTTTCCTTGTCAAGTGTCACAGATTTATTTGACTCAAGCACGATGCTCACTTTTGGATTTTGAATCTTGATTGCAGAGATCAGGAGCGAGAACAAGAAGTTAGAGCTCATTATTTCTGTGGTATTACCCAGATGAGACGGTTGAGAAGTTCCTGCTAACTAGAGTCCTACAGTTGCTATAACTCTGGCCCCTTCTGAGTCTGGCTCTCCAGCTTTCCTGTTGACCCTATGACTAGGTTCAATATTGTCAAAACTTCCTTTTCTACTTGTTAGAGTCAATTTCTGTTATTTACAACCCCCCAAAATCTAGCTGATGAAATATGTTTAGAATTTATATAAATCATCTTTTTTCTAATTATAATACAAACCCATCACAGAACTCAGAATATACAGAAAAACATAAAGCTCCTAATTCTGTAAGCCAGATACAACTTACAACAGTTTAGTGTTTCTATTCTTTTGTTCTAAATATGTATATGTATGTACTTCTTTGAAAAATAAATGAGTAACCAAAAGAGAACTAGAGAGACTACATATCAGACAAAAGAAACTTTAAGAAATACTATGAAAGACAGAGGGACATTTCATAATAATAAAAGGTTCAATATTTGAATTTCAAAAAAACTAAGAAAACAATTCCATTTATAATAGCATCAAAAAGAATAAAATATTTAAGAATAAATTTAACAAAGTCAAACCACTTCTAAAAAAGAACTGGTTTTGTCAATGTGGATAACAATATTGAATGAAAATGACTTTTTGGCACTTGATGCAATTATCAGAGAACTTAAGCATATTTGGCCTCATCCTTTCCCTGAGGAACCATTTCTAATCATTTGTTATTAGTTCCAGTGCTTCTTCCCATGGCTCTAAGTAATATACTCGTCCTACTACTGGAGTTAACTTTAGATATTACCTTCTGACTTCCTGCTGCTGCTGCACAGATGGGGCTTTGGCTTACCACCACCACCTTTTGCAGACCCTCACAATTTCTGAAAATACCAGTTTCTGTTTCTTTATAAATTTAAATGATGTATTTATTTAACTCTATATTTCTTGTTCCATCAATTTTGACAGTACCTCATCTCTCTACTTTATAAGATACTTTCTCATCACTCCCTCTACCTCTTAACTTGCCAGCTTTTCTATTTTGTCAAGATTAACTTTTATATTCTGTTCTGTAAAAACTGTTTTATTCTTTTTTTTTTACCCCCTACAGTCACCACGCTGTACACTGCATCCCCAGGACTTAATTTATAACTGGAAGTTTGTACCTTTTGACTACTTTCACCCATTTTCCCCTGCCACCCACCCCCTGCCTCTGGCAACTACCAATCTGTTCTATGTTATCTATGAGTTCAGTTTTTTTTTTTTAAAAAAAGATTGCACATATAATAGAGGATTTGTCTTTGATTTATTTCACTTAGCATATTGCCCTCAAGGTCCATCCATGTTGTTATAAATGGCAGAATTTCCTTCTTTTTTTAGCTGAATAATATTCCTGTGTGTGTGTGTGTATCACATCTGCTTTATCCATGCATCTGTTGATGGACATTTAAGGTTGCTTCCATGTTGTGGCTACTGGTAATAATGCTGCACTGAACACGGGGGTGCAGATTCTGTTCGAGTTAGTATTTTTGTTTCCTTCAGATAAATACCCAGAGGTGGAACTGCTGGACCATACAGTAGTACTATTTTCAATTTTTTGAGGAACCTCCATACTGTATGCCATAGATGCTGCACCAATTTACATTCCCACCAACAGTGCACAAGGGTTCCCTTTTTTCTACATGTTTGCCAACACTTATTTCCTGTATTTTGGTAACAGCCATTCTAACGGGTGTGAGGTGATAACTCACAGTGGTTTTGATTTGTACTTCCCTGATGATGAGTGATGTTGAAAGACCTTTGCATGTACCTGTTGGCCATCCGTTCTATCTTCTTTGGAAAAATGTCTATTCAGATCCTCTACCCATTTTAAAATCAGACTTTTTTCTATTAAGTTATATGAGTTCTTTATATACTTTGGATGTTAACCCCTCATCAGATATACGATTTGCTAATATTTTCTCCTATTCTGTAGACTGCCTTTTCATTTTGTTGACAGTTTCCTTTGCTGTGCAGAACTTTTTAGTTTGATGTAGTCCCACTTGTTTATTTTTGTTTTTGTTGCCTTTGCCTTTGGTGTCAAATCTGAAAAATCATCGCCAAGACTGATGTCAAGGAGCTTACCGCCTTTGTTTTCTTCTAGTTTTATGGTCTCAGGCCTAACGTTCAAGTTGTTAATCCATTTTGGATTGATTTTTGTGTACGGTGTAAGATAGTGGTCCAATGTTCCCAATACTACTTATTGGAGAGACTAGCCTTTCCCCATTCTATATCCTTGGCTGCTTTGTCATAAACCCACACATATATGGTCAATTAATTTATTTCTGGGCTTTCTTTCCTGTTACACTGATCTGTGTGTCTGTTTTTATGTCAATATATTGTTTTGATTCCTATAGCTTTGTAACATAGTTTGAAATCAGGAAGCATAATGCCTCCATCTTGGTGGTCCTTAAGATCGCTTTGGCTATTTGAGGTCTTGTGCGGTTCCATACAAATTTTAGGACTGTTTATTCTATTTCTGTGAAAAATGCCATTAGAATTTTGATAGGTATTGCAGTGAGTCCTGTTTTGGGCAGTATGGACACTTTAACAGTATTAATTCTTCCGATCCACTGGCACAGGATATCTCTCCATTTGTGTCTTCTTCAACATCTCTCATCAGTGTCTTATAGTTTTCAGTGTACAGGTCTTTCATCTCCTTGGTTAAATTTATTTCTAGGTATTTTTTTTTTTGATGCAATTGTAAGTGGGACTGAGTTTTTAATTTCTCTTTCTGACAGTTTATTATTAGTGCATAGAAACACAACTGATTTTTGTATACTGACTTTGTATCCTGCAATTTTACTGAATTTTTTGATTAGTTCCAACAGTTTTTTGGTAGAGTCTTTGGGGTTTTCTATATAAGATCATGTCATCTGCAAAGAGAGACAGTTTTACTTCTTCTCTTCCAATCTGGATGCCCATTATTTTTTTTCTTGCCTAATTACTCTGGCTAGGACTC